TAAATGGCTTATAAATAAAAAAAAATCCACTATAAAAAACCACATATATCTAGTCCACAAAATAAGATATGCTACTGATGAAACATAAGAGTATAAAGTTGGTAACCTTTAGAACCGAAGAATCGATGGAGGAATCGAAGAAATCTTGTGATTACCGGCGACGAGGAAGAAGAGAGGATGACGATGAAGCAAGAACACTGAGCTCGAAGTGGCTCGGACTCGGGGAGGAAGAATGGGTATATAGGAGGGGACCTTTAGTCCCGGTTGGAGATAGCAACCGGGACTAAAGGTCCCTTTCTAGTCCCGAACGGAGCCTCCAGCCGGGAGTAGACTTTTACTCCCGGTTGGAGGGACCAAGCGGAAGTAAAAGTTAACCTTTAGTCCCGGTTGGTAGCTTCAACCAGGACTAAAGGTCCCCTGCAGCAAAAGCCTGCCGTAGAAGCCATTGGGCAGGGACCTTTAGTCCCGGTTGGAGCTACCAACCGGGACTAAAGATTTCTCTAGTCCCGGACGCGAAAAATACCGAGACTAAAGCCAAATTTTGAAATGGATCAAAAGTCGTTTCTCTACTACCAGTGAAGCAAATCGTGTTTAGCTATAATATAAAGAAAAAAAAAAGAGTTGTTAAGAGTGGTTAAGTGAGCAAACCCAGAACAACCCACGCGGAGGGCCCTCGGCGTGGATAGCCCAAGAAGAAGCTTAAACATCGGCCTTATTCCTTGACAAGAGTAAATCGTGTTTAGCATAGCCGAATATTAAGCCGGTCCGATAATCAGCCTTCATCATGATGGCCGACAATCGGTCCGCCTATCGCCAACATCATTGCGAGCTCCTTGGGCCAAAGCTAGCTGTGTGCACGGGCTCAAACTCACAACCCATGTCTAAAATTTTTCACAGCCTTCATCATACCAGCGCATGCCTAAAAGTGATAATCACAGCCTTCATCATGGTTTTGGCCGGGCTCAACTGTGCTGTGCTGTGCTGTGCTGTGCTCAACGGTTTTTGCCACGCAACTACGCAAGAAGTCGTCACCACCATATTGGCTGCTATTGCATTGCTTCCTCTGATCAGACCAGCGCATGCCTAAAAGTGATGCTCTACGTGCTCCACATATCCTGCATCAACGACCGATAGATGAAAAAACTTTATGGCGCGAGCCAAGGGTGTATATATATATATATATATATATATATATATATATATATATATATATATATATATAGAGAGAGAGAGAGAGAGAGAGAGAGAGAGAGAGAGCTGAGAGAGCTCAATTAAAATCCGCGTGGCATGGCTTTAAATGGCTTCACCTTCTTGCTATGCTGCGCGCGAACAAGTCAACGCAGGAAAATAGTAGATTCATCGTCGGCTCAATAGTTCATTTCAAGAGGAGAGATGAAAACAACTCCTCACTATATTACATGGATGAGCTGAAGCTCTACCAACTAATACCTAAGTTTTTGGCTAGATTTATGGAAAAAAAAATGTAATTCTTATTTTTGAGAAGTCAATCAATCTTAAATTTAGCTAGATTTATGAAAAAAATATCAACATTTATATTTTGACATAAATATTTTTATAAATTTATTTTTTTGATAATTCAATCAATCTCAAATTTAACTAGATTCGTAGAAAAGTATCAATATATTTCTAAATTAATTTTTACAAAAATAAATTGCTTAATTAAAAAACTCAACGGCTTTGATATGAGACAGGGGAAGGGGCCTAAAATTTTCTCCCATGTACAATCAAACTCAGGACCTGAGGAGCGCTATTTGAACCACCTAACCAACTCAGTTAGAGGCCTGTTTGCGATACATTCTATAATTAATATAATGATACTTATTACGTATCGTAAATATTGATATTTTTAAATAAATTTAGTTAAATTAAGATTGACCGATTTCTCAAGAAGCAAAGATTTACATTTGTTTAGACGGACGGAACCTATAAATTCTCATGCCAAAATAGTACAAGTACAGCGCGAATCCTGTGAGACCTCTGCTCAGCACAGTAGTCAACGGGTCTACTGGTGTACGTATATACAGTATATATATACAACATTAATGTCAGTCAGTTCCGCGACGACGATGAGATGAATAGAACGCTTCGACAAAGACGACGGCAATGAATGAATGCGACCGCTGCTCACGGCGGCGACCTCCCGGAATCGCCATCAAATCATCAGGGCAAGCTTGCCGATTTTTCCAAGCAATCGCGCGCGGCGAGAGCGCGCGTGTGGACATTTTTATCGCCACCTTACTTCGTGTGGCGAAGAAGGGCCCGTTCGCTTTGCTGGAAAAAGAAGAAAAATACTGTTTCGACTGATTTGTTGTGAGAGAAAAACACTGTTTCAGCTAGAAAAAGAAGCCAAAGAAGCTGTATTATAAGAGCTGCTTAGTAATGGTCAAGGCAGCTACTTCGTTTGAATAGAATTTGGGCAAGTTGCCAATCATGTTTATCATTGCCGTGGGCACACATCAGCAGCCCTGAAACAGTAAACAAATGCCATAATTCTATAAGAGACGATGAGTGACATGTGATTATGCGGAGAATCCTTCAGGATCAAAGTCTCCAATTTGACTCCGCACCATAACAAATCAAGTATTAAATTCGCAGTTGCAAAGACGAATACAAAAGTACGCATGCATGCCGAGTTCACTTCCAAACGAAGAACAAGAGGCAGCCGATATTGTCTGCCTGGCATAGAGACTGAATGGCAAGTTACTATATTTTCTTCCTCCTGCTAGCCTATCAACCATTCAAATGTCCTCCTGCGCGGGTTAAAACTTAGAATCCTATAGGCTATATGAGGCATCAGTGTATTAGAAGTTTGTGTTTATTACCTACATGCAACTAATCAAATTAAATTACTTCCCTCTGCACTCTCCATCTCTTAATTTATTTTTAACACAACACATACGTAGATACTCTGTAATTTCTATCCATTTATGACAAACTTATCAATTAGTACTTTGTATCTTTCTTCATCCATGTTTGTGTTTTTTCTCCCTCTTCATAACACGTACTCTATGTGTCTTCAATATGCTTCTAGTTGAAATCTTAGAACTAATTATGGTGGATTTTGAATTTTTCAAATTATGTGCTATAAATCTTTACTTCCATGTTAAATTGAAACACTTAGGGTTATTGTATCTTTCAATGAAAACTCTTTTTTAGTAAACTAAGGACTTTACGTCTACTTTGATGACATACATCAGTGGTAACCTTCACAACACCGCTTAAGATTGGTTGTGGAGCTTTAAGTGAGATTAAAGGCCGATTTGTCATGGCTCAGGCTCCGGCAGCGAAGGAGCCGAAGGAATCATACCAAATATTTTAGGAGGAGGAGCCTTTTCTAGTGAATAGTAAGAAGTCGGAGCCATTTTTTGTCTAGAAGAGGAGCTACAATTTGTGTCTCCTCCTAAAGTGCTCCGGCTCCTCCAGAGGAGCACTTCAGGAGGAGTCATGCCAAACAAGCCCTAAGAAGGGTCTAACGATACTAAATTCAAGAAGATATTAATATCTGAGCCTAACAATCACCTCAAAAGGAATTTTAAAAAAAACTATGGGGCAATGGTCCGCTTTGTTCTATACTAATTTCATTCACTAAAGACGTTAAATTTTCTCTGTCAAAGAAGTATACATGCAATAGCACTACGGCTCTAAATTGGCTATCACTGTGGGTTTTCGAATCGGTAGTGGGCGGCAGCGATAGCTATTACTGCCAATTGTGGGCTAAAACCAGCAGTAACAATACCCAAAAAAATGTATGTTCCTCGGGATTTAAACTTATGCCTTAAGTCTTACATAGCCTTCTTGTCAGCTCAACTACACAACAACTTCTAACTTTTGACTATATAACAAACACGCTATTGGTTTAACTTCACGTTTATGTATCTCATATTGCATATTTAGTACTCTATATTATCTCAAGTGTTAAAAAATCAACTCTAAAATTGTAGACCTCATCAAGTACTACGATGTTGATATTTTGTCTCCATCAGAGATTGTTTAACATGCCAAAGCACTTTTATTGAATATATATTTGGATGTCTAAAACATCTCAAATCAAAAGGTCATCAACTACAAAGTTTTAGATCTCGTTGATCTCTATCACCCTGTTTGCTTGATCGTTTCTGTTGCTTATAAGTCGGCTGATGCTGTTTTGTTGTGAGAGAAAACACTGTATCATGGCTGATAAGCATGGCTGATACGATCAAGCGAATAGGGTGTATAATTCTGATATAAAATTTGTCCTCACTGGAACAGTGGGTTTCACTACCGGTCATAGCCACGGAGATGCTTAACCAGGGAGATGCTCACGTGTGAGCCTAGCAATTCTGTGCCTTTTTTATCTCGCCTATACTACACACAACACCTCCTTTTTCGCGTGTAATTATTCGTTCAGTTCCTACCAACTAACTGTAACTGCAGAGCTGCCTTTAGCCGCCTATCCGTTCGGCATCTCCCTCATCAGTCACTGGTTCCACGCTGCCTCCTCTTGACTGACTCCTGACCGCCCGCCGCAGGTTTCCCTCGCCATGGCTCCTCCTCGGACTCAGAGGTTCGTATTCCGAATCTCTCCCTCTCTGGCCTCAAACACACTCTCGTTCAAATAAATCCGAGACAACCAAGTTCGCCGCAAACGCAAAGTCGCCGCCTTTTTGTGTCCCCCCGAGCGGCCGAGCCTCTGTTTCTTGGTTTCCGTTCTGTTACTGCACAAGTCGTCTTCGCTATTCAGCCTTGCCTCCGAGTTATCATCGTTTTCCTAGCATTTTTCGGAGCTTTACGCGCATTTTGTTCTGGGTTTATTTTCTGGTTGGGGGAGGAATCGAGTGCGACGCAGGAGGACACTCAGCCTGTTGAGAGAAAAACACTGTTACCGGCTGGAAATTTACGATCGTTTAGCATCTAGGAACAGTAAGTGTGTGTGCGCGCGCGCGCGTGTGATGCGAAGAGAGGAGAGGATGGAAATCGAGGAAGCCGCCGGAGGCGGCGAGATGGGGGAAATGGAGGCCCCCGCGGTCAGCACGGTGGCAGTGGCGGTCAGCGGGGGCAGGAGCAGCAGGCACGCGCTCAAGTGGGCCCTCGACAAGTTCGTCCCCGAAGGGAGGGTCCTCTTCCGGATCTTGCACGTCCGCCCGGCTATCACCATGGTGCCCACTCCAAGTGAGTAATCGCCTTCCCCTCTCTTTGAATGGTTTTAATTCTATTTACGCCTGTCTGTGTATGCAGTAGCACTTCTAGTAGTCTTCAGATAAACTTCCTCCTGTTTACTGTACTAGAGTCTGAAGTCTGAACCCTGAAATGTCTAGTCTCTATGATGATTATTTTTTTTTTCTAGAAAAAGGGGAGTAATTGAGAGAATATATATAGTTTATTGTTAAGGAGGTTCTAACAGGAGAAGGTGGAGGTTAGCAATTTGATGCATCCAAGATGTGAATGAGTTGACAAAAATGCTTTAAAAGGTCTGCACATTACAGTGAATGTGGATTCTGCATTTCTGCTTCCCAATGTTGGATAAATCAGCAGTATAAACCTCTAGAGTTGGTATTTTTATTGTATACACTTTACATATTGCGATGTCAAAACCCACAATTTTAGTCCTGCTGGAGAAGGAACTAGCAATTTGAAGCTAGCAATTTATCCACGATACTCTTATGAACCTCAAAAGTATCTTTTTCTTTTTGGCTTTTCTGTTAGGACTGTTCCCAAGTTATCTTATCAGCTACCTTTTCATGCATGGTACTAGATACTACTCCTTATGTCCTGACTTGAATAAAACAGTGGTGCTAGACCTTCTACTAGACAATAGCGCCAGCCGCCAGCTATTTTGTTATGAGAGAAAAACACTGTATCATGACTGATAAGCATGGCTGATACGATCAAGCGAACAGGGTGTATAAGCCAGTTGACGCTGTTTTGTTATGAGAGAAAAACACTGTATCATGGCTGATACGATCAAGCGAACATGGTGTATAAACACTTTTTTGTGACCAAGATGCCACACCAAATGTGTACCAACTACTGAATTCGGTGTACCAAGCTTATTAGATTGTATGAATTCTGCAACCTTTATTGTTGGTGTGACAATTTTGAAATTATTAGTGTACCTGCTACTTGCAACGACTCCAAATCATTTGAGTAACAACCGGTTCCTTTTTCTCTTTTGTTAGTGGGAAATTTTATACCAATCTCACAAGTACGCGAGGATGTGGCATCTGCGTACAGAAAAGAAGCAGAATGGCGAGCCAGTAATATGCTAGTTCCTTTCCAGAAGATGTGTGCTCAGAGAAAGGTCAGGATTAGCTTGCATAATTGTCTAATCGTTCCACCTGCAGTTAATATTTTGTTTTCAGGAATCATTTATACCCTATTTCTGATTAACAGGTAGAAGCTGAAGCTGTTTTACTTGAATCAGATGATGTTGCTTCTGCTATAAGCGAAGAGATAGGAAAATTCAATATTTGCAAGTTAGTTTTAGGTTCTTCATCAAAGAATATATTTCGAAGGTAATTTCTTAATTCCCAGTATTTATTTGAACAAATTTCTATATTACTGCATATCATTGATGAGTCTATACATGAGCATATATGTATGCTGACCAGTCCTATAGTCATACCACATTATTTTTATTAAGTGAACTAGAGAAGATGACAAGTATGAACAAATTCAATGAATCAATGTTGTGAGGCCAGTAGCCCAGTACTAAAATTAGCCACGTGATACTCTATCCATAATAAATTGTAGTCCATAAAACTGAACTGGCCATAATCTGTTACATTAATTTACCCCTGGAACCTTCGCTTACTACTTCCTAACCTTTTATGAAGTTTAAACAGTAGTTCATATGCATTAACGTACCCTGTGGTGCTCATTTCTGAAGTTTGAACAAACTCTATGCTAATATAGATGAACTAACTGAGAAAATCTAGCATAAAGGCTACAAACTTTTGCTGGTAGTTGTTCTAGTATAATTATGAAGTCATGATAAAAGCATAGGTTTTGGTAGGACGATCATGCCTTCGTATTTAATGCCCCATGCACTGGCCTACACAACTCGAGGGTGCTGTACAAGTGCCTTGTACATGGCTTTTATAAAAAAGGTAAAAAAAAAGTAATGCGAAGCAAACAAATAATTAGGTAAAAGAGCACGAGTACTGTAGGACAGATATGTAAGGACTAAGGACTGTACTAATGACATGTTCCATAGCCAGCAAAAAAGACTGGTGCAATAAAATCGAATCGTTGATGCTGGATCCTTATGTAAATAACACTAAGAACTCGAGGTAATTAGACAGCAGTTTGAAAATGATCATTATGGATACCCAAAGTATTTATAACATGCATCACTTTTCACTCTTCAGGAAACTCAAAGGAAGTAAGACTGCAACCAAAATATCTGAGTGCATTCCAAGCTTCTGTACAGCATATGTTATTTCAAAAGGCAAACTATCATTTGTGCGCTCAGCTACATCTGACATTGCTGAAACGCCTCGATCCATATCCTCTTCAACTGTTTCTTCACCTAGCACTAGATGTCTTTCCTCCTGTGCACCTTCAGGTAACATACAAGCACATATATCAACACTAATGTGTAATAATTGGTTTTCTCACGTCGTTTTGCGCATTTTTTTTTTTTTTGGTTTTAACAGTTACTGAACTGAATATGATGAGTTCAATGCTAGTGTAAGAAAAAAAAACTAGCATCTTTTGTTGAGATAGTTGATGAAGAATGCTAGTTTTGTTTCTGCCTGCATATTTAAGGTTCAGTATGCTTTGGTGTCTGCAAATAAAATTTTTTGATTTTTTTTACTAGTGTCTCAAGTAATTTATTCTGAACATAAGGACTCCGGCAAAAATGTCCCAACATTGGTAGTTGAGATGGAATTTGTTGTACAAAAATGACTATGGTATTCCTAGAATATTAATCACCCTAGATCAGCAGGTTATCGATCAGATGTAACAAACTTTCAGGAAACTTAATGAGGGACATTTGTTCTTTACATTATTCATATTACTCTAGTAATGTCGTTTTCTAAAAGTTAGTGTATTAATGATTCTTCCAATTACAGAATGGGGAGACACATATGGAACAGCAAATGTACCATTGCATCAACCTTCCTTGCCATTGCAGCGTGATCAAGCATTGGCAATCATAAACAAGTTGTCAAACAGGAGAGCTAGCTATTCGAGCAGTGTTGTGAGCGAGATCTCTTACAATGATGAGCCGGCCCTGTCAAGGTCACACTCCATCATATCAGAGATGCAGTTCAGTAGTGGTAGCAGTGGAAATTCTGTTTACAAGAGCTTCCAAAGAGATAATTTGCCTGACAACTCTGATCAGGCATCAGTTTCAGAAATTTCAGAAAATGTAAATCATATGAGTGATCAGGTACCCCACACTTTCAAGGAATACAATAAATAGTTTCCTTCGAAAGAGTAGTAAAATATCAATTAAAAGAAACTAACGTGTTTTGTGAACAACTTGTGCTAAGCAGGATGATCTCAGGCTTCAAATTGAAAGGTTGAGGGTCAAATTGCAACATCTTCATAAGCTTCATGAACATGCTCAGCACGAGTCATTAGACACCACTCAAAAAGTAATGTCTGTCTTTTCATCGTGAACAGTATTCGAAAGTATATACCATAAATGATCTAACTGTTTCATGTTCCATCTTTCCTCTTAGCTGCATAAGTTGGGCACTCGGCAAATTGAGGAAGAAATCAAGCTGAAAGAAATTCAACTGACAGAGGACACGGTAAGGAGATTAGTAAGAAATCAGGAGATGGAAGAACGCGAAGCAGCGAGAGAAGCTGAATTTAATCAACGCTCCGATGAAATGGAAGCAAAACACAGTTATGATATTGAAGAAGCTAATGAGAATGAAATGGGAAAGAAGATTGCTGGACGCAGTTTTGATGACTATAATAGGTATACGTGGGAGGAAATTCAGGCATCGACTTCGTCATTCTCTTCTGCTCTTATGATCGGTAAGGGATCATATGGCACAGTTTACAAGGCGAAATTCCATCATACAGTAGCAGCTGTCAAAGTATTAAACTCCCCTGAAGGCTGTGGAACTCAGCAATTACAGCAGGAGGTATTCCCATTTTCTCTAACAAAGTGCACCTTATACAAATAGTAGTAAAAAAAATTGATGCTTCGGTCACACAATTTATGAACATTTCTCTTAATTTTCTTGAAGCAGTCAAATATGTTGTATGTTGATTAGTGTTTGCATCATTTATGCTGTGCTCATCATCATTCATGTTGTTTCAGCTTGAGGTCCTTGGTAAAATTCGGCACCCTCACCTTCTGATGATGCTTGGAGCATGCCCTGAACATGGTTGCCTGGTTTATGAGTACATGGAAAATGGTAGCCTAGACGACATGCTGCAACGCAGGAAGAATTCGTCGCCACTGGCCTGGTTTGACCGTTTCAGGATAGCCTGGGAGGTGGCTGCTGCTCTGATGTTTCTTCACAGTTCAAAACCAGAACCCATCATTCACCGTGACCTGAAGCCTGCGAACATATTGCTAGACAGGAACTTGGTGAGCAAGATAGGTGATGTAGGCCTATCAACTTTGCTTCCAAGCATGGGCCAGTACCTGTCTACAATGATCAAGAACACTGCCCCTGTGGGCACTTTCTGCTACATCGATCCAGAGTACCAAAGGACCGGTGTACTATCCATGAAGTCTGATGTCTATGCGCTAGGCATTGTGCTCTTGCAGTTGCTGACGGCAAGATCACCGATGGGCCTAGCGCATCTTGTGGAGACTGCACTAGAGGATGGCTGCTTTGTTGACATCCTGGATGCAACTGCTGGGCAGTGGCCCTTGAGTGAGACACAAGAACTTGCAGTTCTAGCACTAAGGTGCTCAGAAATGAGGCGCAAGGACCGGCCCGACTTGAATGATCATGTTCTTCGGACACTGGAGCGGCTGAAGGATGTCGCAGCCAAGGCCAGGGAAGATGCTTTTCAGGGTCACACAGCACCTCCAAGCCATTTCATTTGCCCCATACTTCAGGTCTGGAACTGGAATCATTGTTTTTTCTCTTGTGAACTGCAGTGGACATTTCATAGGATGTATACTGATCTCTCTTTTTCTCATATAATGTTTCAGGAAGTGATGGTCGATCCATATGTCGCATCGGATGGTTACACCTACGATCGTAAGGCGATTGAGTTGTGGCTAAGCACGGACGAGACATCCCCAATGACCAGCCTGATACCAAATCACTCCCTTCGTTCTGCAATCATGGACTGGAGGTCGAAAAGCAAGTGACATGTGATTCATTCAGTCCTCGGATTGCATGCTTCATGATGCAGCGATGGCTTATTTGTCTTACACAACGAAGCTGTCAGTTTTTTGTTAAAAAAATGTATGGAAGTAGTCTTCAGAAAGGGTTTTAGGTTGTGCAGCAGCTCAAGCAAAATGTAAAAAAAAGTCGTCTGATAGCATACCTCGCTGTCTTAGCGAAGCACTTCATTTCTCTCTCTCTCTCTCTCTCTCTCTCTCTCTCCTATGCAAATAATGTATTTGTAAGCATGTAGTCAATGTCAATTATTATGATTCATCATTTGATTCTTAGACGAAATGAATTGTGCATATTGCTGTTGTTTTACGCGGTTCTTTTTTTTTCTTCTCTGGAATGAATTGTTGTCATGTTCAGTTAGACTGTCCCTCTTTGGCAATGGTACCAGTTGTTGAGAAGGAGCACAACAGAAAAAGGTGAAAGCAAACTGTCAATCAGCTAAGATTGAGTAGATATTGACAGTCTTCTGGGGACAGGTGAACCTTTCATGACAATATGTGCCAGTTCCCATATGTATGCACTGTATTAAAGCAATGAAAGAGTGGTTAAAGTAACCAACTTTTCCAGAAGACAGTAAATAAAAGTAAACAAAGCAAGGCATGGGCATGGTTAAAGGCAGAAGGGAAATAAAAACTATGGTTTGATCCAGTTTTAAAGGCGCAAGGAACATCTTGGCATGTTACTGTTAGGGATCAAATCATATGGAACGCAGGAGCTTCACCCAAACTACTACTCATTCAGTCATCTGGCAGGAATTTCATAGGAAACAGTTTAATTATCGTAGAAATAGAAGGAACAAAAATCCGAGTTCCAGACAGGATCTTTCCAGTACTGTTTCTAAGCGCACTCGCCGTCTTGAATACAGTAGCCGTGTTAGGTTAGGTGAGCCCTTCCTCTTGCACTGATTGGCAACACAAGCTGTTCATAATGGGAGGACTGAAAAGCTGGGAAGCAAGCTTTCAATTAACTTTGATCCCTGCAGATCGCGTAAAGATACAATTGTCTGCTGAAAAGAACTTGCACCGGGCCAAACCCAATCAATCAAGCAGGATCATAGTCTAATCGCACCTCTCCTAAAGCTCTGACCGTGACTTTAACCACTGTCACTGCTCTTCAGATTTGCTTTCGATTAAAGAACATGAACGAGCTCACCTTGCTCATATTTATTTTATCAGCAGTCTCCCCCTGTTCATGATGAATCGTTCGTGTGCGGCATCGCCGTCAACTAATCTCAGTCTCTCGGCTGTCACTGTCTGTAATAAAGGATTTGTTGAGACTGAAGAAGAGCAACTGAGCAAGCAAGATGATTGCATTGCACTGCATTGGTCAGGTGCAGGTTACACGGCAGCAGGAAGGAGAAATGATTGGATTGATCGGATCGACAGACATGGATGGCTGCAGATAATCGTGATCGTGCTGTTGCCTTGTTGGGCAACCAAGAAATATTTGTAAAGATTTCATTCCCATTAACTTTCTTCACCAAACAATTAGTAGTAGCTAGTAGTACAATCACTCAACGCTGTTATTTTTCACCAACCAGCAGCAGAGATTAGGTGAGCTGGTTTTACATAACACGGCGTCCAGGAAAAAGCAGACAGCCATCTTTTGGTTTGTTTGTTTGTTGCTCATTCGTCGTCATCGTCGTTTTCAGAAACCCAACTGATGAATGAATTCATCGAAAAGGAAAGAAGAAGAAAAACAAGGGAAGGAGAAAACAAAGCAAAACAATCTCCTCTCGTCTCCTGATTGATTAACTGTAATAATTAATTAATTGATTAATTACCCCAACCGCCAGTCCACCACCACCACCTGCGAGATCCTCCTAACCAGAACCTGCTGCTCTTCTCCTAATCGCAATCACCGTCTTCTTCAATCTCCCCTTGTGATCGACAGACATGGATGGGTGTCATGTCATCAGAAGAGCTCTCTGGTGACGAGCGGCGCGGCGGTGTTCCACGTGCTCTGGCTCGTCCGGTCAACGGCGGCCGGGAAGAACTGGCAGTGGCTGGGCACGACACTACAGGCGCCACCGGCGGCGGCGGCAGGGAGGCTAGAGCTAGACTTGGGGTGGCATTGCTGCTGCTGGTGGTGTTTAGTGGGCGTCGCGGCGGTGGCGGCGACGCGGCGGCAGCACGGGCACATTGTGAGGGTGGCGGCGGGCGAGGCGGGCTGCGCGGCGGGCGAGGGCGCGGCCTTGAGCGCCCTGAGGTCGGCGAGCTCCTTCTCGAGGCGCTTGTTCTCGTCGGCGAGGCGCTCGCACCAGCGCTTGAGGTACTCGCAGTCCACCTCCGTCTGCTTGAGCTTGGTCCGGGCGCGGCGGTTCTGGAACCACACCTCCACCTGCCGTGGCCGGAGGCCCAGGCGGGTGGCCAGCGCCAGCTTCTGCTTCTGCAACGACAAGATGGGACAAAATCTTGATCAGCCACCGGCCGGGCCATGAATCAGCGAGCCAACGAAACCGAGCGACGGCGATCGGCGAGGAAGAAGGAGAGGAGGACTTACGGGGTTGAGCGTGCTGTGCGTCTTGAAGCACTCCTCGAGGACGGCGGCCTGGTCCTTGGAGAGCCTGAGCTTCTTGCGCCCGCCGGCGCCGTCCGCGCCGTCCTCCTCGTCGCTGCGGACGCCTCCGGAGCCGGTGCGCTCGAGCTCCCTGTCCCTCTTGTTGGAGTTGTCCCCGCTGGCGCCGCTGGAGAGCGCGGCGGCGCTGTCGGGCGACGTGGACGCGCGCATCGCGGCGCGGTCGGCGGGGTCCAGGTCCAGCCCCGCAGCGGCAGCGGCGGCGGATGCGGAGGCGTGGTACAGCGCGTGCGCGTCCGCCCGCGCCCTAGCGACGTCGGCGACGACGGAGCTGAGCGCGGCGGCCCAGGGCGAGGAGGAGCCGGCGGTGGTGGTGGAGGACGAGAGGCTGCCCTGGGAGGTGAGGCCCAGGCCCAGGCTGAGGCCGAGGTCGAGGCTGGCGCCGCTGGTCCGGGGCATCATCGTGTGAGTGTGGTGAGGCGAGAGCTCGGCTTCGGCCCGGTGGTGGTGGATGGGATGGGCGATGGGCATGCGGTGGTGGTGGTGGCGGAGGGGGGAAGTGGTGGTGGGGGTTATAAATAGGCGGGGTGGCCGGGGATCGGAGCCAGCTGCTTCTTCCGTGAGGGTGGCTGGGCAAATGATGAGCTGTGACGTGCGGGTGAAGTGGATCTCCGCTCCTGTGCACCGCAATTATTAATGGATGGAGGATGCCCTGCTGCCCTTTCCATTTCCTCCCCCGTCTCCGATCCCCTCGTGGGTCGCTCATCATCGCGGCCATGAGCGATCTGCGCGCTCCAGCCTTTTTGACCCTCTCCCCTCGGCTCACGGCTCCTCCACTCCATCGCTGAGCCGGTCTCATGCATGCATGTCTCCGGCTTGGTCGGGGTGGACTGGCTCGATTGCTCGTGTGGGTAGGAATAGCCATAGGAGACAGTAGGCTCGATCTTGAAAATTGGTTAGTGCGTGCGTGTGTTCGGCTGTCTGTCGGTCTATCTGGCCTTTTGATTATTTTGACTGCTTGTCTGACGAGGATCGGATTACTGATCTTCAAAAAGCAAGTTCTAGCGATTCTATCATTGCACTCAAAATGCTTACTCGATTAGGTTGTGCATATTATAGTCTATAAGTAAACAGGGCTCGATCAACTGAGATAGTACTCCACGTAATCAACACGTAAGAAATTCAATTTAATTTCTTTTTATAGTACCTGCTTAAATATTAGAAAACTTTTTGAAGAATACAAAATCAAGGACTCAGACAATGCTAAGACCCCTTCCCCCAAACACACACACATACACAAAAAAACACCACCGTCAACAAACCACACCCAACGTCTCCGCCCCTGACTCCTTCCACTCCCACTATATCTGCCTCTCTCAGCTTCTCCCATACAGTCCTGTCGTGCTGTCTTCCCTCTTACTTCCCCTCACACCCCACCGTCATCCAGATCCACTCCCACGCCTCCACGACCGCCCCCACATGGATACGAACAACCCTTTTCATCATCTATATATGATCGATCCGCTCTACACTTTTTTACCCTCTTCCCTCGGCTCATGGCTCCCTCGATTGAGCTGGTCACATGCATGTTTCAGGCTTGGTCAGAGGCTTTGGTTGGTTTAGATTGTTGTATAGTGTGTGGGTAAGATAACCATAGGGCATAGCCTTAGTTTTGAAATTGTGCATACATGTGTGCGTTCGGAATGTCTGTCTGTCCAGTCCTTTAATTATTTTGTCTACTTGGACCGACGAGGATTGCATAATTGATACACTAAAGTAATGCCTATACTCATGCTCCCTCGTAATACAGCAGCCTATCCTAAGAGTCCTCTAGATCCTATAACCTGAAATCTCCTGCCTAACTCAAAACGTTGACCCCTACCCCTAGATGTGGAGCTTGTTGAAGTTAAAGTTGTTATTGCTTGAAAAGGAGAGGAAATCATCGGAGATGAAGCTCACTGAAGTTGAAAAGAAGGTGCCCCATTAGCCCAGCTAGATGCATGCACGTCTCAAGTTTAGTCGACTCCTCAAGGGCGTTAGCTTGGCTCATCCATTTGTCTGGGTAGAATAGCCATGGGATGTAGCCTTTGCCTTGGAACTATGTCTGCCTAGCCATTTGCTCAGTTCACCTGTTTAGTCCGATGAGGATCAAATGATTGATCCCATTGGTAGAGAATTATCTATACTGCCATATTGCACATCAAATGCTCACATAGATTAGATTTGGGCGGACCATAGGCAGGCATGGCTCAAGTGAAGAGAGCTAGTGTTCTATCTGAGCAACATACAATGCAACTCAGTTCACAATTCATGCGTTGCAGTACGTGTTCCAATACTAGAGAGTACCTTAAAGACACAAAATGAAGAAGGCCAAACTAGGCTTAGGGCGCTCTCTAGATAGCCTACAATGAGAGAATATCACCTCTCCTCAGACTCTCTTCGTTTCCACCACACCTTCCTCCATATGATCAACACACATGCAACTCAATTTAACTATTCTGCTACAGTACCTGATCAAATACTAGAGAACTTCTTGGCTATCACCAAATGAGGACGGGCATGACTAGACTAAGGCCTCGATCTCTTCGGATAAGCTTAGCATGTGAAACCCCCTCTTCCGACTCCTTTTGCTCCAACGACACCTTGCCTCTCTTGACTTCCTTCATCCTATATTGCCTAGTCGCTCTCCCTCTTCCTTCCTTCCACATCCTACCCTCGTCTAGATCTAAACTCCCACACTTCCTCCCGCTCCCTTGCAATATGACAACCTTTTCTAATAGTCATCTAGATCCTACAACCTGAAACCTTCTCCCTGACTAGAAACACCAAACCCTAACCCTAGATGTGGAGCAAACCGAAGGTGAAGTTATTATTGCTAGAAAATTAGAGGAATTTGTTAGAGTTGGAGCGCACTTGAGTTTAAGAAGAGGTGCTCCCTTCGCCTAGTCAGACGCGTGCATGCCTCAAGTTTGATCGAGTCCTCAAGGGTGTTTGGCTTGGCTTGTCCGTCCATATGGGTGAAAGGTCCTAATGGCTAGATGGGGGTAAATAGTCTATTAAAAATTTCTACAACAACACTTAGCAAACCGGTTAGATAAATATGAGGCGAAGTGAGTGTTGCGCTAGCCTACTAAAAATACAAGCTACCTATCATAATTCTAGTTTCTATAGTCTCTATCTACACAATTGCTATGTCACTACACTAAGTTAGTGTGCTCTCAAAGGCTAACTAAAGAGCCACACTAACTAAACTAACAAGCTCTCACGACTAGCTACACTAAAGAGCTTGACAACTAGTTTGTGGTAATGTAAAGAGAGAGCAAGATGGTTATACCGCCGAGTCGAGAAATGAACCAATCAATCACAAGAATGAATACCAATGAAGACCAATCACCTCGGAATCAAATGATGACACAATGATTTTTTACCGAGGTTCACTTGCTTGTCGGCAAGCTAGTCCTCGTTGTGGCGATTCACTCACTTCGAAGTTCATGCGCTAATTGGTATCACACACCAAACCCTCAATAGGGTGCCGCACAACCAACACAAGATGAGGATCACACAAGCCACGAGAAATCCACTAGAGTACCTTTTGGCTCTCCGCCGGGGAAAGGTCAATAACCCCTCACAATCACCACGATCGGAGCCGGAGACAAGCACCTTCCTCCGCTCGACGATCCTCGCTGCTCCAAGCCGTCTAGGTGGCGGCAACCACCAAGAGTAACAAGCGAATCCCGTAGCGAAACACGAACACCAAGTGCCTCTAGATGCAATCACCCAAGCAATGCACTTGGATTCTCTCCCAATCTCACAAACATGATGAATCAATGATGGAGATGAGTGGGAGGGCTTTGGCTAAGCTCACAAGGTTGCTATGTCAATGCAAATGGCCAAGAGAGTGAGCTTGAGCCGGCCATGGGGCTTAAATAGAGGCCCCATCGAAATAGAGCTGTTGGCTCTCTGCCCTCAGCTTTTATGGGGCGACCGGACGCACAGATCACGCTGACCGGACGCAGGCCCCCAGCGTCCGATCGTGGATCTTCGTCCACGTGTCCCACGGATTCAACGTCAGCCGCCTGATCCCAACAATCGATTGTCGGCGCCCTCGCGGTTAAGTAACGACCAGACGTGCCCAACACAGGATCAGACGCGTCGGTGCCAGCCTTGCCCGCGCGCGGCAACACACGACCGAACGCGCCGATCAACCACGGTGCCCACGCGTCAGGTCGTTTCCAGAGAGCTCCCCGAGTGCCTAAACGCCGACCTGACGTGTCCGATCTCCACTGACCGGACTCGCCCAGAGTCAGGTCTTCTCCACGCTCACTCAAACCTCTTATGTCAGCGTACATCAGCCTGACCGGACGCACCAGCATCAAGTCAGGTCACCTTTTACCCCAGCGTCCGGTCATGCACCAGACAGAGGCCGAGCGCGCCAAACTTCATTTTATAATTGACCGAATGCAGCACTTCCGAGTCCGGTCACCATGTGACCTGCGTCCGGTCACTGTTTTTTAGTGAAAACCACCTCCTTCACTTCACCAACTTTTCCACCCTTGCTCAAATATGCTAACCACCAAGTGTATCACCTTATGCACGTGTGTTAGCATATTTTCATAAACATTTTCAAGGGTGTTAGCACTCCACTAGATCCTAAATGCATATGCAATGAGTTAGAGCATCTAGTGGCACTTTGATAATCATATTTCGATACAAGTTTCACCCCTCTTAATAGTACGGCTATCGATCCTAAGTGTGATCACACTCGCTAAGTGTCTCGATCACCAAACCAAAAAGCTCCTATGAAATATCACATTTGATATGAGCTTTTTGTTTTTCTCTTTCTTCTTTTCCAAGTCCAAACACTCGATCATCACCATGGTCACACCATCATCATGATCTTCACCATTGCTCCACCATTTAGAATAGTGCCACCTATCTCATAATCACTTAGATAAACTAGGTTAGCACTTAGGGTTTCATCAGTTCACCAAAACCAAACTAAAGTTTTCAATGGGTAGGTAGGATAGCCTTAGGCCATAGCCTGTACACCTTGGCACTTGGTGCGTGCATGCTTGTGTTTGATTGTATGTCTGCCTAGGCCTTGCTTAATTCACCTGCTAGGTCCGATGAGGATCAGACGATTGATCCATTGGTAGAGAATTGTATATCCTGCCATTGCATGCCAAATGCTCACATATTAGATTGCATGGACCGTAGGCAAGCATGGCTTAAGTGATGAGATTTAGTACTTTATCTGAGCAACATACAATGCAACTCAATTCAATCTAATCTGTGAGGGCTCTAGTATTGCATGGAACATATGCAAGCAGGGCTCATCGAGAATGTCATCGGAATTGGAACTTGTTGGAGTTGAAAAGGAGGAGCTCATCGCTTGCTTCTTTTTTTCTTTCATATTTTGGCTTTCGACATCCCGTCCCCTTCCTCGTATGCTCCTACTAGTA